AGGCCATCAGGTTTTTGTCCACCCATTTTCTGAGCCTGTCAAGGTCAGCCTGGGTGGCCAATTTTTCTATAAAGCAATTGTGGGATACCAGATTGAAAGCTTTTTTAAAGTCGAGATACATGACATCAATCTCTTCTCCCTTGTCCTGGTGGGATTGGTAAGGCAAGACCTACCTGCAACAAACCCGTGCTGGCTATCCCTCAAGAAGCTGCCTTCAGCCAGTTTGTCAAGAACGGTCTCTTTGATTTTCTCCAGGATCTTTCTGGGGATGGAAGTCAGGCTGATGAGCCTGTAGTTTCCCGGATCTACTTTCCTCCCTTTCTTGAAGACAGGCATCACATTGGCCTTCTTCCAATATTCAGGCACTTCTGAGCACCACGAGTTCTCGAAGATCCCTGCCAGTGGCAGAGCTATGATGCTTGCCAGCTCCTTAAGTACCCTGGGGTGTAAGCTGTCTGGGCCAACTGACTTGAAGATGTCCAACCTCTCAGGGTGTTCCTTTATATGGTCAACATTAATGTGGAGTAATAGTTCTCCCTCACCCTGGCCCTCCCATACCATATTGGGCAGGGCTGTCCCTTGGGGCTGGTGAAAAACCAATGCAAAATACCTGTTGAGCAGGTTGGCCTTTTCCTGGGGGTTGGATGCCAGTTGACCCACATGGTTCAGCAGGGGGCCAATGTTACCCTTGCTTTTCCTCTAGCTCCCCACATATCTAAAAAAGGACTTTTTATTGTCCTTGATACATGTAGTTGGAGTTCATTCGCAGCCTTGGCTTTCCTGATTTGCTCCCTACAGTTCCAGACCAGTGCAGACTATTCCTCCTTTGGGGTGGATCCAGCCCTCCATCCATTATAGGCCTTTCTTTTTAGACACAGGAGGTCCACTAGTTCCCTGTAGAGCCAAGGGGGCTGCTGTGCCCTTTTGCTGCCTTTCCTCTGAGACGGGAGACATTGCTTGTGCATCGAGGATTGCTCCCTTGAGGAGCAACCACTGTTCCTGAACACCCCTCCCCTTTGGGTCATGGTTCCTTAGGGCCTCTCCAACAAGCCTCCTGAGCTTGTCAAAGTCAGCTTGCCTGAAATTGAGGACTTCTGCTTTGCTGACTGACTTGCCAGCTTTACGGTGGATGGTGAAGGTGATCAGCTTATGGTTGCTGTCTCTTAGCTTCCCTTCAATCGTTAGGTCACTGACTAAGTCATTCCCTGTTGCCAGTACCAGGTTAAGCAGCGCTTTGCCTCTCATTGGTCCACAGACTTCTTGAGTTGGATACAGCTCAGCCACATGCATGAGGAAGCTTTGCAACTGTTTGCATGTGGCTGAGTACTCTTCCCACGAGATGTCATGGTAGTTGAAATCTCCCATGACAGCCATGCACCGGGAACGTGCAGCCTCAGCTAGTTCCCTGGCGAATTCCTGATCAAGCTCTTGATCATGGCTAGGTCTGTCATAGACCCCCACCACTGTGTCCCCTGTGCCTTGTTCACCACAGATTTTGACCCAGAGTGTCTCCAATCATCCCCCTGGGTGCCAATGTCAGCTTGCAGGGACATGTAGCTTTCCTTGACATATAGAGCTACCCCCCAGCCCCTTTTGCCCACATGATCTCTCCTGTACAAGGTATAGCCATCTATACCTGTGGCCCAATCACACGTGGAGCCCCACCAGGTCTCCATTATCCCTATGAGATCGTAATCCTTTTGGTTTAGCAGGAGGACCAGTTCTTCCTGTTTGTTCCCCAGGCTCCTGGCATTGGTGTACAAGCATGTGTGTCCCACCGGGGGCCCTTGCCTTTCCTACAGATTGCTCTGGGGCTGGAGTAGGGGTGCTTTGCGTGTCTTAGCTTGCTGGGTTTACAAAAACTGCCCAGTGGTCTTGCAGTGACAGTACTTCCCCCATCCCCTGGTGGTCTCAGTTTAAAGCACGGTCATGCAGGTTAGCAAGTCTGGCTGAGAAGAGCCTCCTCCACAGTGGAGTGAGGTGGAGGCCATCTCTTCCCAGCAGCCCACTGCCTCCCACACCTAAGAGCAGGCTGTGATCGTGGAAGCCGAAGCCTTCATGATGACACCAGGCCCACAGTCTCTGATTGACTACCTCAACCCGTCTCTGCCTCCTCAGCCCATGACCCACAACCGGGAGAAGTGAGGAAAAGAACACCTGTGCTGTCAACCCCTAAACCCCACTTCCAGAGCCCTGTAGTCTCTCATGACCCAGCTGGGATTGCTCCAAGCCATGTCATTTGTGCCCACATGGATAAGGAACAGAGGGTAGTGGTCAGAGAGCCAAGAGGATCCCAAAGATCCTCCAGATGTCCCAGATATGGGCCCCCAGGAAGTAGCAGACCTCCCAGGCTAGGGGGTTGGGGTGGCAGATTGCCCCCTCAGGAATCTCCCATGACAAGCGCTCTGCATTTCGTCTTAGGGAGAGTAGGAGTGGGTGATCCTCCCTTGCCTGCAGGAGCTGGCATCTCCACAGGCTCTATTGGGGCTGCAAGAGGTTCGTACCTGTTGCACAGCTCCAGAGGGGATGGGACCTTCGTGTGGCAGGCCTTGGAGCCCTTGACCACCTTAGTCCAACCCCCTAGCTGGACAGCTCCCCAAGTCCTCCCTTGTCCTGGAAGGTGACCTTGGTCTACCTTCTGCCTGCAGGGGGTGGAGGGCCCAGCAGTAGGAGTCTATCTCCTGCTCACCATACCTGTTTGCATGTAGTCTCTGGATTGTGGCCTGGAGCTCCTCGATTTGGCACCCCAGAGACTCTGAAGTGGAGCAAACCCTGCCAAGGGAGGTGGCGGCCATGCTTCCAGTCCCATGAGCCTGGAAGTGTGCTAGGCAGCCCCTGCAGCCAAGAGCCAGAGAGCCCGGAACCACGGGTTCTGTCTGGGGATTATTATACAATAGATAACTGATGTCATTCAAATGCTTCACGTCAGGAATGGCCTTTTTTGTACAGTAAAACAGGTATTACATGTTAAACATCCAGAGGTCCTGGAAATGAACCAGGAAATATAATATTTCTAGTTGTAAACAATATTCAATATTGCTTCACCAGGCTTTGTTAATGGAACATTAGGCACTGACTGTAGAACAGCTTTTACATAAGAAGGAACTCAATGCCAGAAATATTTTCTAGTCACTTTGCAGGAAACTAGTATATTTTACAAACAGTGGTGGACCGAAGTAGTTTGTGATTACAGACTATTTTCCGTTTGCAGGAACAAGACAGGTGCAAGAGAATAAAAATGAGCTTTCACCCAGAGGTTTCTAGTAATTTTTTTTTATTGTGGATGCAGTATTTGCTTATCTTGCTCCTAAAGCAGCTATGGGATAAAAGGGATGCATGTGAGTGTTCCTTGTTATGTCCAGGGGCCAGGCAACAGACAACTTACCTAGAAGCCATGTTTCCAGCAATTCTCCTACTTCTGCTGTTATATTCCCTCTAAAGGAAAGTTTCTAAACACAAGGGGGCAAGCTGTCTTAATTTACAAAAAGATGACAATACTATATTGGTTTCCCTAAGCTATGCTTCCCATGGCACCTGCTCAAGCCAGCATCTTGGACCAGCCCAGGTGCCACATGAACTGGATCAGATATGTGGCCAGGGGTCTGTGGGTCTGCTCCAGACCGTGGATTAGCCCCACACCACTCATCCATTTTATGGATCAGATGAGTTTGACACCCCTGATATAAGGGGAGGAAAAAAATTCAGAGTAGCATAACAAAACTATCCTCCATAGGCTGTCACATAGTGAGAAAGAAATTACGCTGTGCAGGCAGCAATGTTTCCCCATCTCCCATTTGCTCAGCCCTATATCCATAACTGTGGAAAGCAGGGCAGCTCCAGGGTCTAAGTTTATTGCTGACATATAAATAGTAGATTTTAGATGGGAGAAACTCTGCCACCCAGTGGAAGTTTTTCTTTCTCCTTAATTGTAAAGTATTAGGGAAAACAGATTTCTTTGGTCTAAGAACTCAGAAGTAAAACTCACTGAAACCTAGATGTGGTGTAAGATCTGTAGGCAGATTGGGTTTTTTTTGTACTGTAACCAAGAACAAGTGGTAAAATTGTGAATTAATACAAACTCATTAAATATATCATCATATGTGACACACAATGTACCTGTTTATCAATATAGGAAAACCTAGTAAAGAGAATTCTATGGGCAAACACAAGGTTTTCAGTGGTAGAGGTAATGAAATACACAGTCTATGAATCATCTGAAGATCTATTAACAGACTAGTAGAAATATATTTAGAATTGAAGATTAATATTTCCAGTTAGTTAAGCATAAACACAACTTTGCATTAAGAACACTATGCACCTATCTGTATAAATATAAAATATTTATTAAATATAAAATGTTCTTATATTTACAGTTTACTTACAGTTGGTAGGGGTTTTAGGTAAGTAATCATGGACTATCATACTATAAATTAAATAAAAATTTCTGTATTTTGGTGGATAAAATCTTAGCTCATAAAAAGTATCTTCAAGAGCTTCTTTGTCTGTCAGCTTGTCCATGTCTCTTGCTTCTTTCCCCTTTTCATTTTTTTGTTTTTCTCTTCATTTATAGTTTCACATTCTAATGAAGCCATTTGAGAAAGTCTTTGCAAGTATTCTGGTGCTGCTCCAGTGACAGGATCTGTGAAGTGGTGATGAGCTAAAAAGGGGAGTAAAAACCTTGAGTACAAACATTAAATCAAAACATAACTTAAGAAATAAGCCTTCAAAGGTTTTTATTAACATTACTTGAAAGACTATTTTTGTTCCATTAAACAATGCCTAATTTACTACTAAAAGGCAGGCATCCCGGTTTCAAATTAAATCTTAATGGTGGGATAGGAAAGTTATAAAAAAGAAGACTGAATGGTATCTGCAATTCAAAACACAGAATACGTTTTCCACAATCAGACTCTTTTTCAACATCAGTCAAATTTGCAATGAAACAGATATCAGGCAAGCAAATAGTACCAAAAACATAAAAGGAATTGTAGTTTCTAGTTAAAATTTTTTTGGTAAATAAAGATTACTGGTTTGCAGTCTCATTTTTAAAAAAGTTCTCCTATTTTTCTCTTCCTGTTCCTTCTTATTTTGCTTATCACATGCAAAGTATTACTGTTTTCTAAAAAAGGTCTTTAATGTATATATTTGGAGACATTTACATTTCAGTGTCACTGGTATTAACTATGTTAGATATTGCTGACAGTATAATTTGTTATCTGTCGATCCTTCTAAGCACGGAAATACTAACATGATTTGGATGTGTCTAAATAAAACCAAGTTTATATCTTACCAAATTTATATTCATGCCCAGAGAAACCCAAGTATGTCCTGGAAATTTTGTTATTCTTCCTGGACCTAGAGACATCACAGAAAAAAGTCCCGATTTTAATATAATTGTATAAAAATGGTAGACTTATGCAGAAAGAAAAACAGGAATGGTTACATTCTACAGCAAGACAACAGTAAGGATACTCCAAAAAGGCTTCTAAAGGGGGTTGAGAAGGCATTGGTTTTATTTAGACACTGAAGGATTCTTGAATTCTGCAGTAAAAATATGCATTTTTGCAGCCTTTCCATCTACCCTTGTATTCTGCACATAAAAAGACTTTAAAGCTTATATCCCTGTGAAAAAGGGTACTGTCCCCATGTTATTGGCAGGTAAAAGGAGGCACACAGATGTTAAATAGACTGCCCAGAGCTACAAAGCAAATCAAAGGAGCTGGGACAGAATCCAAGTAAACCTGTCCTTGAGATAAGATCCCTGTTAAAGTACACATGGTTGGCCAGAATTTGAGTTATTTGACACAACTATAGATAATAATGAGTAAAGAAAATTGATCATCTACATATCTTACTGAATGGAAGGGGAGAATCAGAATTGAATTATCCTGGCTTTCCTCAGGAACAATATCTGGGTCAGGAGGCAGCACTGGAGCTAGTTTATCTAAAAAAAATAACTGCTTTATATTTTATAGATCTAATACTTTTCTTGTATGTGACCACAAATTTTCTTGGTGAAATGGAATCCTCAGTACATCTCTGGGCAGTCCACCATCCCCTGTTCACTGCCAGAAGAGAACAAAGAAGGAGCAAGGAGGAAGGATCTATCCCTAGGCATTCAGGAGGGTTTCATAGGCTATAAAAAGACATCATGCTTGAAGTGGGATCAGCTGTGCTGAGATACGTCCTGGCACAGCTGATCTGCCTCGCTGGATGACACAGACCCAACAGTTCCAAGTCAGGGCATAGCAGCATGATACTGTGCAGCCAGGGAATCCCCTGCCAAGGGAATCCCCAGGTGTGCCTCAGCAAGTGGGGAAACTTGAAAGGCACTCCCAGACTTTCAGGGTCCCAATCCTCCAAGGGAATTCCTGTGGCAGCTGGGCTAGGGACAGAAGTTGCACATAAATAGGTAAAAGTGATCAGAAACTGGTTCAAATCTATAACACCACAGAAGTTAAGTGCACACAAACCACTTTCAAAATGTCTGAAACTGGTTTAAGATAAGCCTGATAATACATCCATCCAGGTTTAACTGATTTAGGTTGAATTAGTTTCTTGAACTTCTGTCCCAGATCCCCTCCAGATTCAAGCTAATTCAGTTCTTCAGCATCCCAGGATGCTTTGCACCTCCCTGCAAGCCCCCAACACAGGCTGAGCAGGCTAGCCTTGTCCCAAGCTGTTTGATCCAATCCAGCAGCGAAGTGTGCTCTAGTGTCCCCCAGCTTCTAGCCTGGGTCACTGTAGGCATGTGGCTGCAATTCCGGAATCAAAAGTGAATGTCTGTTTACTTGCTTATCATTTCTATCCATGCAGTTTACACTAACCTGAGAAGATTGAATCAATTCAGCCGTAGGCTTTTTGACTGCCCGTACTTAGCCCTGAAGAGCGCGGGCAGCTACGGGTTACCCATGCTCTTCCACCATAAAAGTAAATAGATGTCCACACAAAAAAAGAAGCACAATTCCTGACCACTTATTATCATGGCCACAATTTTGGGCCTTTGTGGTGCAACAGTGGGCATGGATATCTATTTGCAAGGGTTTTGTGCTACCATAAAAGTTTTTATGACAACACAAAGGCTACGTTTGTTTGCAGCCATATTTCCCAACACTAATTCTGTATTTCACATCTATTTTGCATCTATTTTGAAGCAGTATTCCAACTTGGTTTACTTTTTTCCAATCTAGAATTTTATTTCACCAAATTAAAGTGGTCTCTGCTGCTAATTACTATGAGTTAAAGGTGAACCAAAAACAGAACATTCAATTTTCTGTAGAATGTGCTGTACTAGAGTCTAATGCAACCCCAAGAAAATAGATATTCATACATATTAATATTCTCCCTAGAAGATCTCTGTACCAACAGCCCTTTCCCCATATGTTCTATATTTTGCACACGTTTCTTTCCCACGTGACTATCCCAGGGCACTGCCCTTTGGTGTTCTTTCACTGTATGCTTCTCAGGAGATTCCAAGTATCCAACATTTCTCTACAAAAGAGCCAAGGTTGCAACTAAACATTCTTTACCTCCAAGCTCCCATCTCTCCACCTCCACCATGGATGTCTGGCATCTTCAGAGAGCTGGGGTTCCAAGAGTCTAATCCTCTCTTTTGCAGATCTACCACATGCACTTCTCTCCTGAAGTGAAAGTAAAGTACTTAAAGCAGGTGTAAAAAGTGAGGAAGTATTTTACAAAGATTAGAAAACTTCTAAAGCTGGAGCTGGCATGGTGCAGAGTAAATTCCATTCTTCTGAAAGTAAGGAATCAGCTCTCAGAAGTAAGTGAAACTCTACATCCTTATCCATAAGTAACCTAAACACTGTCTATTCTTGGTAAAACTAATACAAACTGTAAAAAGGTGAAGGCAGGGCAGGGAAGCACCTCAGAGACTAACTTGTTCAGAAATGCATAAAATTCTGTAAACAGATGCTATGTAAAAGGTGAGGAAGGCTAAGGATGTGTATAGAACTCAGAAAAACCCTTAGATTCAGTTTTGAGGAGGGTTCAGCTTGTGTCATGGTAAGAGCAAGGTTTCTGTTTTATAGATGGGTGGGTGAAGCCAGGAAGGAACTGGCTGTTGAGTCAGTACCAAGGTTGGTCTGTGCTGCAGAAGATATTTCTAACACTAAATGATGTAATGAAGGTCTCAAGAACACATTTAATCAGGGACAGAGAATCTGATTAACAATCTTTGTTAAAGAAAATAAGTGGTTCTGTAAAGGGTGAGAGAAAAAATGACTGACTAATAACGACACAACACTTTTTACAGCAGCGTCTATATACATCAGAGGAATAAATATCCCATTTAGGACAACACATACTAAATTAAAAGAAGAAAATGCATGGAATACAGTCCACCAATGAGAAGCTATGACAGCAAGTCAAGAGTCAACTCTGCCATAAACTTGAGCATCTTTGAGCAAGTAAGATAGAACCAATTTCCCAAGTCCCTTGTGTAAAAATGGATGCAGTGGACTCTGGATCACTTGTGTTGGAATGGTTACCAATTTGCTTCATTCACAGTGGGTTGAGCTTCTCAGCTGTTTGCTGCAGCTTTTGCTTCAAAGGGCACCACTTCTCTGATGAGCTTATCAGTTCTGTACAGATGATCAGAAAAGAGGCACTCTGAAATAAAAGCCACAGCAAACAGGTGTTCATATGACCAAACTCCAGCTGTTCCATATTGATGAAAAGCGCAGCAAATACCTCAGTGGTTCCATGGTGCTGTTTGCTGTGGCTATATATGCCCCCAGGTAGTTCACAAACCCTTGTTTTCAAAGGGAAGTAAGGAATTTAACCCTGTAAAGAATTTGAGGTCTAATGTAGCACTTCACATAATTTTACTTGAGATTTCACTTCACTTTGAGATACTTGGAAAAAAAGTGTTACAGAAATGCAAAGAATAGATGGGAAAAGCAATACTGCACTACAAATCGAATGTCTTATAATTCAGATTCTGGAAAACACTGAGGGCAAGCTGAAAACCGCACCATGATTTTGTTTGATATTGTGGAGAATGGAAGAAACCTTTAATTACAAATGGTGCTAAATAAAGCACAAATGCTAGGACAGCTGGAGTAAATTATTTTTATATGCAAATAAAGTAATTGATTCAGTTTCCCAGTCAAAAATCAGTAAAATGTCATATTTAGAAGAGAAAGTTTAAAAGGAACTGTGTTAAAAACAAGATTCCTAGGGAAAATATCATTAGAATATTTGGTTCTGAGGAAAGAATAGTAAAAGATTACTAAAATTGCCAAAAACGAGGCTTACTCCCAATGGAAAGGAGGGGTCATCACTAAGGAGGACTATTCTACAGTTGCTCGGGGATGTAGGGGGATGGTTAGGAAGGCCAAGGCAGAGATGGAACAGGGGCTGGCTTCCCGGATT